TTGACAGAGACAGCGAGAGCAGGAACACAAGCAGGGGGAGTGGGAGAGGGAGAAGCAGGTTTCCCGCCAAGCAGGGAGCCCGATGCGGGGCTCAATCCCAGGACCCTGGGATCATGACCTGAGCCAGAGGCAGACGCTTAACGACTGAGCCATCCAGGCGCCCCTTAACTACTTATTTACAAGGAAGCTGGCATTTGAATGAAGAGCATCAAGTTTTGCTAATTGACTGTACTGCAGACCAGTGTGCCTGAAGAGAAATCACTGATTTTTCTATTTACTTGTGCAAAAAGAGTTTAATTTGACTTTTAGTTGACTCAGAACCTTTGCTGGTAGGTGTGGACGTAATGCACAACTAGTTCTTAAGCATTTCAATGTTTTCTTATTTCAGCTCTGGATTAATCGAATTACAGCTGCCTCTCAGGAGCATGGCCTGAAGTACCCAGCATTCATGGTCAATTTAATTAAGGTATGGTTGAGGATGTGGTCCTATTGAGATGTTGAAATCTACAGTGATCCAACTGACGTCAGCCAGTACAATGGGCAGTGGAGTGTTGGCTCCCTGACACGTTCTCAAGGTGGAGTTCTGGCAGGTTCAGGGACCCATCACAATTGCTTTGCCTTGGAAATAGGGCAGCTGATACCAGGACATGAACCCCTGTGTTTCCCCATCAAGAGAAAAGGGGCAGAAAACTTGCCTTTAACTTTAAAGTGTAATTTCAAGGTTTTGCACTGAAAGATTTCTGATGAGGTAGCAGATGAAGTTGAAACTCATAGTCAAACAGCACGGGGACTGTCTTGGACAGGAGAGATTAAGCATGTGTCACAAAATCTTAGTTAATTGTTGAATCTAGTGTTTATGCTAATCCCTCTGCTTTTGTGTGCATTTCAATTTTTTCTTAAAAAGGGGAGTGGGTGTTGTGCTTCTAGCGTGTACCAGATCCTGTCTTTGGTACTTTGCAAGTATCCTCATGCATGACATTGCCATTTTACTGATGAGCCTGAGGCTCAGAAGAGCGAACCTTGGCCAAGACACACAAGGCCCAGGTGGTAGAGCAGGAACCACCCCTGCATAGTTGTGGTTAACACGCAGGGATCATCTTACTTTTCTTTTGCTTTTCAAATTCTTCAGTTTTTGGAAGTCACATGCAGTTTTACTTGATAGATGATCTGGTTTCGCTCCCTTGTGGGAATTGAGAACACCTGCTTTTGTTCCTTACTCTGCCTGCATCTCATACTTTGCTGTGTTGCGTTTCATTGTTTGTAGAAGGGGAATTGTGATTTTCTCTTCGAAGCTGACTTAAAGGGTTACCGCAGGCCAGCAGTCATAGTTCTGTCTGGGTGATTGATGATCGATTGTTGACCCTAACAAGATTGTTAGTTCCATGGCTGGCACCAGGACCAGATGCCAACATCCTTGTTCATGTGACATCACCTCTTGCAAGGATGCCTTCCCCTTGTGCACATTTATCCTCCAGCATCCTGCTTGGATACATTCGCCACACGCTTTCCACCTCCCCAAAGGTGAGGGCATGAGACTGAGGGCAGAGGCTGCCCTGGAGCCATGCAATGTGCTCAGTAGAGGAGATGCTTCCCCCCCGACTCAAACCATAGGATTCTCGGCTGCATCCAGTCTTGCCGCTTTTCACTGAAAACATGTTTCTGATTCTGATACGGGCTCTGATTTTCTTCCCAGTGCCAGGTGGAGCTCAACAGGAAAGTACTTGCGGATCTAGCCATCTACGAACCAAAGACTTTTAAATCTTTGGCTGCTTTGGCCAAAAGGAGGCGACAGGAAGGATTTGCTGCTGCCCTGGGGGATGGGAAAGAGCCCGAAGGCATATTTTCCAGAGTGGTGCAGGATCACTGAGGGGAATTCCAACACTGCCTGCCCTTTGCATCTGAGTATCTTAGGAAAAGGTCCCCCCCCCATGATCACAGTAGTAAAAACAGGGTCTAAGAATTATTTGTCAACACTGTGTGTTCAACAATTATTAATTTGCATTTTAGTAACAGGTTTAAGAGGCCCTTTTTCCCTCACTGGGACAGATCTAGAAATCTTACAGACTGTACAAATAAAGCTCATGTGGTGTTCAGCGTTTTGAGTTGTGTTCTCTGGCATAAGCACACATGCCTTGGGTGCCCTGTCGGAGGTGGGGAGAGACTGCCAGGGTGAGGGGTCAGCTGAGCATGATCTTCTGCAGCTGGGGGAGTTTGAGCCAGATCTCTGTGAACTCTGACCTTGGCTCCCCACTCAGGACTGTGCTAGTAGCCTGTCCAGAACCCAAAGCCCCCAACCGCATCTGGCCCTGCCTATGCTTGACTTAGTCTTCTACCCTCCTAGCCTTCCCCTGGTCTCCACCTTCCAGCAGGGACTCCATGGCTCAGCTTTTTGGCCACTCTGAGTGCCACTTCCAATTTCTCTGCTTTCTACCTCACTCCCCAGGCCAGTAAGAGCAGCAAGCTGGGTGGCTCTCCTGGTTCCAGTCTCACCTTAGTGCTCACAGGTGACCATCACATCACCTGTGGGGAGATCTGAACGTAAGGGTTTTGGGTCCCTTCTCCAGATAGTCTACTTCATTAAGTATAGAATCAAGTCCAAGAACAATTTCCCAACATACTCACAGCAGCTCTAACTCTGCACCTCCCTTATGTCCATCCATCTCTGCCCACTGCCTTGCAGGGGAATCCCCCCTGCTCAGGTCCAGGTCCCTTCCATTACCCTATTAGTGAGCTGCTTCTACCCTCAGCTTCTCTCGCATGTACTTTGAGCTCCCTCCAGCTTGAGTCTGTTCCCCTCTTGGCCAGCTCTGGTCTCTACCTCTTGCTTCCTGCCACTGGGTCTGTAGTCGGCCCCATCATGCCCAGGTAACTTTTACCAAAGCCATCCGGAACCACAATCCAACAGATAAGAGTCAGCCCTTGCCCTCCAAGGACCATGGACTTCCTCCTCTCTTCCCTCTCTGCACTGTCTCCCTATGCTCGGCCCTGACTTCACCCTTCCACACACACCCTCTGCCCTCAGCTAAGTTCTCGAGGCCCACAGTAGCAGCTGTTGTCTGCATTTTTCTGGCAGTGCCCACCTTCCCCCTCCCACTCCTAATGCTCCCGTGCTGGATCCTCCATCCTTTGCTAGCAGTCCCCTGGAAGTCATTCTGGCTTCCTATTGTAGACTGAAGACCCACTCCCAGACCCACGGAGAGCCAGTCAAATCCTGGCTACCTACCACTTGATCTCTTGAATCTGTCCACTTTTCTTCATCCTCACTACAACCCAACATCTCTTCTGGCTCCAATTACTGTACTGGCCCAACAGGCCCCTCCTCCTGGCTCTTGTCACTCTGTCTGATGACCACCAGACCATTTGGAGGTGTGGGGCTTGTTCAGTCTTGTTCAGTGTCCCTGGCTGTACCTAGTTTAGTGCCTGACTATGCACTCAAAGTGCTCACAGCACACCACTCATCAGTAAGTGGGTTTAGCATACACACAAAGGTGGAGGACATAAAGACTCCTTTGGTGTGTGGGACTGAGCTCTGTACAATGAGCTGCTATACAGGAGCTGCCTTTCCTTTGTCCATCTCAAGGAACACAACGATATGGTAAACAACTGTGGGCTGCTCCCAGCACCCACTCGCCCTCCAGCAGCAGGACCCAAGTTTTCCTTCCAGTAAGCCTGGGTGCATGGCCTGGCTCTGACTGACTAGAGCCATTAGCTTTTCCCTCTTTCCTGGCCACTGTTTAGGGGATGGTAGAACAACCCAGGCAGGGCCAATGAGAAGCTGTTTCCTGATTTGAGGAGAAAGTTCCTCCTTTCCCGAACAATGCTGCTCAGTCCACAGAGCGGCGACATCCTGGAGTTGAGAGCCTGGGGGTAGGGGAGATGAAGAGAGGTTGGGTCTTGGTTGGCACTATATAAGCTGCAGGGTAAGTTTCACCAGGAGTGAAAGCCAATGGTGGCCTCTCGGTTTGGACAATTGAGTTGGGTGCAGTCAGTAGCATCTCCAAGTGTCTGGACCTGTGCCACCCAGGCTTCTACCCTGTAATCTCCTCCCCAGCATACCCCACCCCGGCTTTCCCACCGCCCTCACGTGGGTTCTTGCACTAGTCCTGCTGAAAGTCTGGGCTAACGTACAGCGACAGAGAACGAAAACCGCAGCTCGGACTCTGGTACGGATGCGAGCGCAGCACTGCCGTCAGGTTCCGTGAGCAAACCCCTGAGCCTGCCTGGTGGAACTGCTGAGGAATCCAGAGGGGTTCCTCCGAGGCTCCCCCTGCAGGTTGAAGTCCGAGCTCCCTTCCCTTCCACCCCGGGAGCAACTTCTGCTTTTCCGCAGGCTTTGCAGAAACCTCGAATTCAGTTACTCCTCTCCTCTGCGGACTCTGTTCCGGAGGCAAGAACTTCAGGAACCCCGTGTTAATATCTGCCCCCCGAAGCCCGGGCTCAGTGAGGACCGGAGAGAAACGACCTCGCCAGCCACCCCGTACGGACGCAGGCGATCCGCATCCCGTTGCTGCAGGCGTGGGCTGGGGACAACTCACCGGCGCGCGCCAATCCTTTCGCGCTCGCGGCCCCCCAGCCCGGGGAGGCCTGCGACCCCTGCCGGCACCCACGCGCCCGCACGCACCCTCGCGGACCCCCTCAGGGCAGGCCGGGGTTGCGGGGTGGGAGCTCCACGAGATGCCGGATCTCTGCGCTGAAAGTACGGCTGCGCCGGGGAAGCCGGAGTTTAAGGGCGCCGGGGGCCGGCCCCCGCGGTAGTGATTCCGGGTCGGGCTGTGGACCTCGGGCTCACCCGGGGGCCGCGGGGCTCTCTGGGTAACGAGCCCCCCCCCCCGCCCGCGCTGGGGCACGGCGTCGGCGTCGGCCGCAACGCTGACGGGTAGGTCGCCCAGCCAATCGCGGCAAGGCGGCGCCGGGTCGCCCGCAGACCGAACCAATGACACGCGGGGGGGCGGGGCGGTCGCGGTCGTAGAGCGTCGCGAGGAGCCGCCCTGCCGGGAAGGAGCCCGAAGGGGAGTCGGCGGCACAAAATGGCGGCGGCGGCGGCGACGGTCGCGGCCGGCGCTCCGGGGCCGGCGGCCCCCGCCGCAGCGGCCTGTACCCCGGGCTCGGGGAGCGCAGCCCCCGGGTCACAGGGGATGTTGATCGGGGACCGGCTGTACTCCGGGGTGCTCATCACCTTGGAGAACTGCCTCCTGCCTGACGACAAGCTGCGCTTCACGCCGTCCATGTCGAGTGGCCTCGACACCGATACGGAGACCGACCTCCGCGTGGTGGGCTGCGAGCTCATCCAGGCGGCCGGCATCCTGCTCCGCCTGCCGCAGGTGAGGGCGCGGCCGCGAGCCTCGGGCCGAGGTAACCGCCGCGCCGGCGCCGGGGGAGGCGGCCGGGCCCTTTGTTGGCGGCGGGGCCGGGTCCAGCGCCGACCCCGGCCCCGCGTTTCACCGCTGCTGTCCTTCGGGGGCGATGAGGGGGTCGAGGCGGGACGCGAGGCGGCGGGACGCGAAGAGCCTTTGTGGACTTGCAGAACGTTTTAGTGTCTGGGTCTGTGTCGGTTGCACAAAACAAGCGACTTAACTGCGAATTGTGCTTTTAGAAGTGATGGGAACGTTTGTCTTTTCCAGGTGGCTATGGCTACCGGGCAGGTGCTGTTCCAGCGGTTTTTCTACACCAAGTCTTTTGTGAAGCATTCCATGGAGGTAAGGGCTTTCTCGCATTAACTTCGCGCAGAAATATGTGGCGGGGAAACCCGGGTTTGTTGTTTTGCGGCTTGGAGTGCTGTACTTGCGGGATTGGGATCCCAGCCCCCTGGACGCAGAGCGGTTTCCCCACAGCGGCTTTTTCCTTGGGTGCCCCTGCTCTCTGCTCTTCACTCTTCATCTCTCTTCTTGAGCCGTTGGAGACCGTGGTGAGTGGAAGGAACACATGTGTGTGTTGCAATGCTTGCATTTCAGCATGTGTCAATGGCTTGTGTTCACCTGGCCTCCAAAATAGAGGAGGCTCCAAGACGGATCCGGGACGTCATCAATGTGTTTCATCGCCTTCGGCATTTGAGAGAGAAAAAGTGAGTCTCCTTGTTTTTATGGTTAAGTTCCACAGACGTTTCTGAAACAAAACTCAGGATGTGAAGCGTTAAGCTTGTGTCCAGGAGAGGGCCTGCTGCCCAGGAGGTACCCAGCAGGTGCTGTTCAGTGAGTGAAGGGATCATAGTAAAAAGGGCAGGGAACTGTGGCTGTGGTTTTGTCGACATTGGTCTCCCTGTTTGCCCATGCCTGTCGCTGAATGTTCTAGAGCTGGGTTTGCAATCTCCGCACTGTTGACATTTTGGGCTGGATGATTCTTTGTTGTGAGGACTGTCTTGTGCATTGTAGGATGTTGAGCAGTATGCTTGGTCTCTATAGACTAGATGCTAACGGTTCATCTCTCAGTTATGACAGCCAAAAACGTCTCCAGACCTGGCCCTGGGATAGCAAAATTGTCCCTGGTTGAGAACCACTGCCTGGACAACCCAGACTTTATGCTCCTCAAGTGGACGGTCCTTTGGAAAATCGAGCCTCAGTCTGTTTAAATGTTCTGCTCCCATTGGTTCTTTGGTTTTCCATTCACCCATAACACATAAACTTTTGTTTTGAGCCAGGTAATGTGCGGTTAGTACTTGTGTGATGGGATTTTGAAACCTTCTACTCTGTGTTCATTGTGCATCAGAGAACTGTTTGGAAGGAAAAGAGAATGTTATTGAGAAAGGATAAGCAGGTTAGCACTGGGGTTTGAGGAAGATTCTCTGGTTTTGTTAAAGGCTACATCTATATTGCGGTGTTTACAGTGGATTTTCACCATTTGGAGGTAATTGTGATTTGAGAGACATTGTTTTATTTGACCCTTATGTGGACATGTGCTTTGTCTGTGTAGGAAACCTGTGCCTCTACTATTGGATCAAGATTATGTTAACTTAAAGAATCAAATTATAAAGGCAGAAAGACGAGTTCTCAAAGAGCTGGGTTTCTGTGTCCACGTGAAGCACCCTCACAAGGTGGGTATGTGGCCCAGCTGCCACGGGACCCCACCTGACTGCTCCGTTCTCACTAAGATTGAAAACTCTGAAGAAGAGTAAATGTGTTCCTGACGTGTTTTTCCAGTTTATATCTAAGATATGAAAATAATTTCTTATTTGTTAGTTGTCTTTATACTACCTGTTAATTTTATGTTTTCAAGAGTTTTGGAATGGTTGGTTATTTTTTAAGTTTGAGCTTTCAAAAAAAATAGTGAATTTGTAAAAATGGTATCTGTTAGTTTATGTTTTTCTTTCTCAACAGCTCATTTTCTAAAGTTGCTTTAGTGATAGCTTTATTTTCTCTAGTGGGGAATTGGAAGGATTCTGAACCCTTTATTTGGAAATGAACTAAAGCAGCTTTGCAGCGCATGACAGTTGAGCGTGGCTGCCATACAGTACCATGGGAACCTTTTATGAGACGCATAAACTTCTTTAAAAAAAAAAAAAAGATTGCAGTTTGCACCTTTCCTTTATTCCCTTTTTATTGGTGGGTCTCTTGCTTGTTTGACTTTCTGGCATTAATTCAAATTCTTGATAAGTTACCATAGATTTTTAGACTTTTTTTTCATTTGCTGAAAGTATTTTCACACCATGTTTTGTGTAAAGTGGTGACTAGGGTACGGAGATGTTTAGGATAAGCTGATCTCACTGGTGGAAACTATGTTGAAGATGAGAATGAGAATCAGCCTTTGGCCCTGAAAGATGCAGCTGCCTTTGCTGTGGGTGCAGCCTGGGTTCGAAAGCAGGTAGCGGGGCCTGTCAGCAAAAACTCCCCTCCAGCTGAGCTGTGCACCAGGCATATGACCAGGAGCCACCCCTGGGATCTAGCATGAGGCTCATATTTACTGCATGGATGCTCTCAAGATCTGAATTGTGGGTTCTCAGGGTTCTCGGTAATAACTGGCTGACCTGTATCTTCCAGATAATCGTTATGTACCTTCAGGTGTTAGAGTGTGAGCGTAACCAGCACCTGGTCCAGACCTCATGGTGAGTTGACCTTCCTTGTTTTATGAGACCAGCAAGGGCAGTGCAGGAATATGTTGATTTGAGGCACTTGGGCAGTGGGTAGTCAGTCCCATGACTTGGTTGTGGGCTGGAGTTGTCTGAGTGCCCAGTGTTCCTGCTGTGTAGATTCTAACCAGCCTCCCAAAATATCAGGCACTAGTGTAACGGTAAGGTGGCCCACACCCTCCCCCGGCCTTCCAGGAGAGCGTTCACTGGGCTTCCCTTTGAGGGCTGGTGACTTGGCACATCGGGATCTTTCCCACAGGTGCCAGCGTCGTTGTAGTGGTCTTATGTCTCCTTGGAAGTTGCTTCTAACTGCTTCTTATTAGAGAGAATCCTGTGGGAGAAAGAGGGTTAGGATAAAGTTTTTCTGGGACTGATTTTAAACAATGCATATGTTAGAAATGAAGCCTGAAGTAATAGTGCTGGGTGCTTTGTGAATTTTTTTCCACGGAGTTAAGTCTGTAAGGGTCATATTTTTGCTGCCTGAATTGTCTGGTGCTATGCCATATCTAATAGAGAACCTATTTTGACTTTTCTTTTCTGTACTCTTTCAATCAAAGGGTAGCCTCTGAGGGTAAGTGACTAAGACTTCTCCTCTACTGTCCAAGCGCTTTGGTGCAGGGACAGCGGCCGTCCTCAGCCAATCCAGTGCAGGCTCTCCACCGAAGGCTGGCTCTAGATGGTGGTATGCGCACGATAGTATAGTGCTGGCCGACTGCTGCTGTGGTTCTCTGACGGTGGTGCTTCTTGTTAACCCTGTCGTGCTTGGTAATTGTATTGATTAGAGTTCACTGTCTTGACTTGAATTTTGTCCCTTTGAAACTGCTGTACCTGTGCAATAAAGATGCAGTACCTTTCTCCTAAAAAAATATTTCTATGGAAACCTGTAAGAATTGGCTGATGGGAATTCAGACTTCAGTATGGGATTATGTCATTATTCCTGGAAGTCCTAAAGTTGCTCTTTTCAGCAGCTAAGTGTTGACACGTTCTAGTAAAAGGTGTGCATCTTTAAATTATTTCATGGACACTTTTTATATTGTAACTTAGATAAGCAATAAGTTTAAATATACATTTCAAGGACTTCATTTGTTTTTAGGATTTAAAAGTTAATAATGTTCTCATTATTTGAGTACTGAAAATTTATTAGAACCAAAAAAGTTACTGATGTTTATGTTTATGAAGTGTTTGAACTGTTTGCTTGCAATGCTCTGAGACCTATGGCCTTGGTGCCATTATGTAGGTCTTTTCCTTGATTATCTCTTGATGCCTGGAGCAAGAGCTTCCAGAGCCAGGTGCCACTAGTTGGCATATGTTGAATATATCACTGAGAAATCTGAGTGGGTTTGTGTGTCACCTTCTCCAGGGTTTAAGACAAAGTTACCAGGGTTGGGGTGGGGGTGTATTAGTCAAATCACACAGCAGGACTTGGCTACCCTGTGGGTGTGGCCTGACTCTAAGGGTTGCCATAGTGGGGTATGTTAGGAACAGCAAATGTATCATTTATTCGACTGTTTTCTCATGGAATCTGTTTTATGCAATATTGGTGAAATATATTAATATGAGATCCTGATTTTGGTCTATTAAATCCTAGATAAATAATATCTAAAGGAAAATGTTGAAAATGTAGCCAGTTTTAAAACCCTTAAACTTTTAAAAAATGCAAATGTTTTGTATTTTTATATCTTTTAAAGTACAATAATGTTTTTTAAATGTATTGATTGTGATGAAACTTGTAGTGTTTTGTTGCTTTTGTCTGATTTTATGAATGTTCATTTTAAGACTCGTTATTGAAATGGGACAATTTGGAAACGGTTCTTTGATATGCCTGAGAAGAGGACTTCCCTTTGGGCATTGAGCCTTCCTCTGCATGATGTTCCCATGCGCCCAGGGGTGTTTTCCCTTTCCAAGTGGACTCCCTCATGGAAGGAGAAGGGCCAGGCCCTGAGCACCTCTTCGAGGAAAAGGGATGCAAGAGGACGGCTTGTCTCAGAAGAGCCCTCGCAGGCTGCCTGCTCAGCCCATTCATTTGAGTTTGCATGTTTCTCTGCACTATGGATTTTGAGCATTTAGATTTCTTTCATCAAGTACATTTCAACCACTACAGTAGACATTTTCTCTCTGAGGCATTGTGCTTTGCACGAGAACAGCCAGAAGTTGAGGGAAAAGTAAAGTTAAAGTCGGTTCTCTTTCATAGCAACATGTGTTGTCTGACATTCAGCCAGCTTTTTAGATTTTTTTTCCAGTAATTTCCCTGTTTTCCTGTCCTGTACTCACAAAAAGCAGCTAGAATGTCTCTCCAGGAATCCTGAGCCTCACAGGACTGTGTAGCTCTAAGCCTAGGAGTAGACTGCGTAGAGTAGTGATCGTATCTAGATGATGCACACGGGTATCCTGGGGGTGCCCGGAGCGTTGCAGTCTTTCCTGCATTTGGTTTTCAGGAATTATATGAATGACAGCCTTCGCACAGATGTCTTCGTGAGGTTCCAGCCTGAGAGCATCGCCTGTGCCTGCATTTATCTTGCTGCCCGGACACTGGAGGTCAGTGTTGCGCCACCACAGGGGATCCTGGTCTGATTCTTTCTCCAGTAAACTTCTGTGTAGTGTTCTTCAGATTATGCTTATCGATGCCAATAAAAAGCCTGTCTCTTGGTGACCAGCAAGGCTTGTTTTTTATTGCCCTAAGAATCTTGTTGGCCAAAAAAGAAAGTATTAACAGTGATAGTATTTGTGTTTACAGATCCCTTTGCCCAATCGTCCCCATTGGTTTCTTTTGTTTGGAGCAACTGAAGACGAAATTCAGGAAATCTGCTTAAAAATCCTGCAGCTTTATACTCGGAAAAAGGTTCTATGTTTTTTCATGTAATATATGCATTTGTGTTTAACTAGAAGCATCTGGTCCTGAATTTCTTCGGATTCTGACTCCCATAGGTTGATCTGACACACCTTGAAAGTGAAGTTGAGAAGAGAAGGCACGCCATTGAAGAGGCCAAGGCACAAGCTAAGGGTCTGCTGCCTGCTGGCACCCAGGTTCTGGACAGCACTTCAGGGTTCTCACCTGCCCCCAAGCTGGGTGAGTGTGAGGGTGTGTGGCCCTCCTTTCCTCCAGATTTCTCTTGGAACTGTGTCTGTTGCTGGCCTGAGCTCCCTGCAGGCACCAGGGTCCCCAGCAGACATTTGTTGATTTTTGAAGTGAGAAGGTCACTCCTAAAGGAGTTTTCATCGTTTTTGTGTTTTCTTTTTCCTTTCTAAGATTTTATTTATTCATTTGAGAGAGAGCAAACATGCGCTTGAGTGTGCACGAGTGGGGTGGGGAGGAGGGGCGGAGGGAGAGGGAGAAGCAGATACCCCACCGAGCAGGGAGCCCAACATGGGGCTTGATACCACGACCCCTGAGATCATGACCCTAGCTGAAGGCAGACACTTAACCGACTGAACCACCCAGGCGCCCCAATATTTTAAGTAGTCTCTACACCCAATGTGGAACTCAAACTTAAAACCCTGAGATCAAGAATTGGATACTCCACCAACTGAGCCAGCCAGGCACCCCTGTTTTTATATTTTCATTAGGGATGTGGACAAGCTTTTCAAAATGTCTTCTTTTTTTTTTTTTTTTTTAACCCAGCTCACCTAATTAGTTTGTTTTCTGATGAAAATTTTATAAATCTGGGGTAGTAGATTGTGTTTTTTGGGTCATATTAGAGTTAAGCATGATGCACATCCCCAGTCCCCTGAGAGAAGGCAAGTGAGACAGGTGGCTTTTCTGTGTCTTTCGGGTGCATGTTTAGGTTCTGAGTCCCAGGTCGGGAACAGGGAGTCTCCGTAAGTCCCATGGAAGTGGTATTGTCTTGCTCTGCTAATGTGTTTTCTATCAGAACAGTTTTCCTGGTGGTCAGGTTTTAACTTCTTGTATTTGATTCTAGCAGAATCCCCTAAAGAAGGTAAAGGAAACAAGCCTTCCCCGCTCTCTGTGAAGAACGCCAAGAGGAAAATGGAGGGCGTGAAGAAAGTTAAGGCTGACAGCCCGGTGAATGGGTGAGTACCCAAGCGCCCCAGTAGGCCTTTGGGGTTGGCTGGAGAGACTTGAAGCCTGTAATTGCTCCCACCATTTGTTCTCAGCTTGCCAAAGGGGCGAGGGAGTCGAAGTCGGAGCGGGAGTCGTGAGCAGAGCTACTCAAGGTCCCCATCACGATCTGCTTCTCCTAAGAGGAGGTATGTGCTGCTCAGGGCTCATGGGGTGGGGGGTGGGGCGGGGGCTGCACCTGGCAAGGGATATTTTCCCCAGGGTGGCTATTGGTGATGTGGCTGCCCCTCACAGGAAAGTCATTCCTGACCCTGAGGTGGTTGGGTGAGTGGTCACCTGTTTGGTGGTGCTGTCCTTCCTCACAGAAAAAGTGACAGTGGCTCCACATCTGGCGGGTCCAAGTCGCAGAGCCGCTCACGGAGCAGGAGTGACTCCCCTCCGAGACAGGCACACAGAGGTGCTCCCTACAAAAGCTCCAAGGTGAGGAGCTACCGGAAGTCTAAGGACTGCAAGTACCCCACCCAGAAGCCACACAAGTCCCGGAGTCGGAGCTCCTCTCGGTCTCGAAGCCGCTCACGGGAGCGGGCAGATAGTTCCGGGAAATATAAGAAAAAAAGTCATTACTATAGAGATCAGCGAAGGGAGCGTTCTCGGTCGTATGAGCGAACAAGCCATCGCTACGAGCGGGATCACCCTGGGCACAGCAGACATCGGAGGTGAGGCGCTGGGCTCCCAGAGTGCTGCCCTTTGCCCCTCAGTGTGCACCCATGGCATGACTGGCCCTGTGGTGCAACTGTTTTTGGAAATGGCTGTTGACTCTGGACCTTGTGATGAATTTGGAGATGGACTCAAGAGGCCGGTGAGGTGCCCTTTAGGCCGGCCTGGGCACAGCGCACACTCGTGCCAGCATGGGGCCCACCTCAGCAGCAGCCCTGTGCGGCTGGGTGTGGAAGCAGGTGTGTACGTCCCGGCGGGGCGGCTTGGTGCTAACGACAGGCCGTCCTTACTCCCGTACCGATACTCAATTACGTCAAACCAAGAAAATGACTTTTAGAACCTTTGCCTATATTAGGTTGTACTTATGTACATATTTTGCAGTGTTTCACAATGAGAAAATGGCCTTAATAGCCCCTTATTCTCTATTCGCCCTGTAAATAAACATGTGTTTAATACAAGTTAAAGCTATATATGAAAATTCAGAACTTGAATTCTGTCGGCTTAAAACTTGTGTAGAGAATTCTGATTTTTAAAATGTGAAGGTATTTAGATCTGTGTTGAAAGTCGTATATTTTTATCTGTGCGATGCTGAGTGCAGGCCACCAGCTCCCAAATAGAGAAGTTTCCTATATATGCATTTTACGTGGTTAAATAAACACAATTCTCTCTACTCAGGACATTTGGAACGTTTCAGAATGTGTAGTTTGTCGTTCTGCTCGCTTGTTCCTGTGCACGGCCTGCAGTCCCCGTTCTAGTGGTCTGTTCTGCACGGCTGCCTCTGAGCTCATTCAAGTGTTGGCTTTCGCATCGAGCTCTGTGCGGCCGGCTGGCGGAGAGCCTGGGCCGTCCGTGTTCTGACGAAGGCCGCTTCCTGCGGGGGCGAGGAGGGAGGGCGGGGAAAGGACAGAATGGGTCTGGGGGGCGGCTAGCGGGAAGGCAGCTGGAGCGCCGGCCCTCGGGGGTGGGCGCCCCTGGAAGCGGGTGCTGGGTCGGCGCAGCCCGGGGGCTGTGTGCGCGGCGGGGCAGCACCTGGGGCCCAGGGGGCTCGCAGGCACCTCAGAGGCCTTGCCGCTTGGGAAGCCGAGCGAGCGGCACCTCCGGGAAGGCCGCGGGGCAGAGGGTCCGCTGTCCGTGCCGACCTCAGCCAGACCGAGGTGCTGGTGGTTTCCGGGAGTTCCGCGCGCGCACACAGGCGCAGGACGGGAGCTCGTCGGCTTTCAAGCGCGCCGTGTTCACGCACCCCCGCGCCTCCTGCGGGACTCCTGCCCAGCCCCCGTGGACGCAGTAGCCCCGGCCGCTGCCGTCGCCCCGAGAACTCTATTTCCGCCGCTGGGCTAACGCCACTTCCGCCCGCCTTGGACGACTGGCCACTGGTTGGTCGGGACGTAATGTGAAGTCGAGGGCATCCCTTAGGATTGTGGGAAATGTAGTTTTCGCGCCGCCATGAGGGAGGAGCCGAGCCTGCGGGCTGTGGGCGGGGCAGGGCGCTCCTCTGGCCGGAAACGGCTGCTTTTTGGACCCGGCGGGACCTGCGCCGACGCAGAGTCGGACGCCGTGAGGGCGCCAGGGGGCGCCGGGAGTGGGTACGGCCGGGCGGCCGCACGCGGAACTGGGGGCCGGTTTGGGGACGGACCGGAAGTGCCTAAACTGGGCGGCAGAGTGGTCAGTTTCAGTCGCCCGGCTTAGGTCCGGGGAGGGTCGGCGGGAGGCCGCGGCTGCAGGGGGACGGCGGTCGGGTGAGGCTGGGGCCGGACGGGGACCGTCCCCTCGGGGCCTGGGAGCCGCGGCTGCCGTGCGCCAGTCCCGGCCTTCCGCGCCTTCGGGCGTCGGCTCCGCCCCGGTGGTGGGTCCCTGGGCTGGAGCTGAGGCTCGGGGAGGGGTGGGCGACTGCTCAGAGGGGCGCAGCCGCGGAGCGGCGGACGAGGGGCTCGCGCCTCAGTCTGGTCGCTTGAGGGAGGGAGCCCTGTGTGGTGGGAGAAGGTGATGAGGGTGATGGGTTGTGGGAGTCCTGGCCTCCCCGGGGCTGCTGCACGCGCCCCCCGGCCACTCCCGCGTGACCGCCACGCGCACCTGTATGTATTGCAGCCACTCTGAGCACCTGGGGCCGCCACCACCCACAGACCATGTTCCTGGTGCGCCTGTCTTCTCAGCTGCTGAGGGCTGTTCCTCGGGCAGGTAAGAGGCCCCGTGGGGGCAAGGGGCATGCGCAGGGTGCACACCCGGGTTAGGAATGTGGGGTAAGTGATCCCAACGGCTCCCACCTGGCAGCTGGAGGCCGGGGCCTGGCCACACGAACTCCTTGTAAACATCCAAGTAGCAAAAAGGGAAAGTCAGGGCCTGAGAACATCAGCCTGAACTGCGGCTGGGATAAGGTGCGGGTCATCCTAGTCCGTGAGCACGGCTCTGCTCCCCAGTGGGGGAGGCGGGGTTGGCTGCGCTCAGCCCTAGCGGAGCTGCTTGGGTGGTAACTGTGCTGTCTTGTTTCCTGCAGGTTGCAGTCGGCCCTGGCCTATCTCAGGGGTGCTAGGCAGGCGTACCTGCAGGCCCTGCTACAGCACACAGCCAACAGGCCCAAGTGGAGTTGCCTCCGTCCCTGGCAAGGGGCTCCAGCTGGAGCTTGAGGAGATGCTGGTCCCCAGGAGGATGTCCATCAGTCCTCTGGAGAGCTGGCTGACCGCCCACTACCTCCTACCCAGACTAGATGCCAGGACCCCAGGGACCGTGGCACCATCCCAACTCTATGAGTGTCCACCTAGCCAAGCGGAAGGGGCTGAGCAGGGGACGGAGGAGGTCTGGGATGCACCCCGGGTGCAGTGCAAAAACGTACTGAAGATTCGCCGGCGGAAGATGAATCATCACAAGTACCGTAAACTGGTCAAGAGGACCCGGTTCCTGCGGCGGAAGGTCCGGGAAGGACGCCTGAAACGGAAGCAGGTAAGTGTGGGGGGTGGGCCTCTCAGCCTAGGGTGGGGCAAGGCGGCTGAAAACGTGTGACTGTGCCACAGACCAGTTAGTGGTCCGTCCTGTGCCCTTGCAGATCAAGTTCGAGAGAGACCTGAGGCGCATCTGGCTGAAGGCAGGCCTGAAGGAAGCCCCTGCAGGCTGGCAGACCCCCAAGATCTACCTGAAAGGCAAATGAGTCTAGCGCTCCTCTCCCCCACCCCTGTTGCTGCTGATGACCTACTGTAATAAATGTTTAGGAACTTAGCTGTCCCCTGGCGACCTGGTCCCTCTGCGGCCTAGTGTGAGCTATCTTTGGATTGAGCTGGTCCCAACCTCTGGTTTTCTAGGAGGCACAAGGGCCCCAGGGTGCAGATCGGGGTCCCTTTCCCGAGAGGGTCCTTGTCCTGGTGCCAAGTCCACAGGAACGACAGCCTCCTTATTTATGAATGTATGATGCTACAGGAGCTGCAAACAGAGGCCCAGATCTGCCCTTTAGGCATTTGTACTCCACTGCGGGAGGCAGACTCTAATCGCACTGATGGCAGAAGTACCAAGGGACAATGCTGAGGGGTTAGGGAGTGCCCAGATTGACTTGGGGATATGATTAAAATCTGAGAGGGGACGGGGAGGGTCTCATGGGGAAGACTGGGGAGGGGGGGCAGACTCTGCCCCCAGAGATGATGGATGGTGCCCTATAGTCCCCACAGACCTGGGCCTCAAGTGGCTCTCTGAGCTGTCCTGCTCCGCTAGCGCTGGGGACCCCTGGTCTCCTTTGGGTTCCTTGGCCTCTGCCACCTCATGGGACCCTGAGTGGGGGCTAATCAGGAAAGGATGGCTGGGAGGGTGTGCTCTGGCAGGGTTGGGGGTGGCTGAGAAAGTGGTGCTGTTTATGTAACTGGAGAGACCCTGGAGCCTTAGCATGAGCCAGTGGACCATTGCATCCAGGCTTGGCGAGGGCTGAGCTGCAGGCAGGGGAGCGTGGTCGGAGTGCCGTGAATGTGGCAGACGCTACTCTCCTCAGCCTCTGCCCTGCTCCCTGACGGCTGACTTAGAGGATAGGAAAAGCGGTGCATCTTTCCTGAGCCGTCCAGTAGAGACACTCATGATGCTGGTATCCTCCCTTGATCCCCTCCACCCCGTTAAGGGCAACAGCACTTCTCAGCAGGCTGTGGGGATTTCTTGCCTTGTCTCAGAAATGTGTCTGGGAGTGGGGTTGAGTTCTCTGCAAATCAGGCAGATCTTGGGGAGGGCTGGAGCAGGGGTTACCCAGCAGTTTCTTTGGAATGGCACAGACCACATTGTGTTGCTCACCCTACATTCTTTCGGTGCGCCAGGCAGGCCCCTGCCCTGTGCATGGCAGCCAGCCAACTAGGTAAGCAGAGTTCTAACCACGGGGCCGGTCTGGGTCCCTGCCCGTCAGGGGACATAGCCCATGGAGGTGCTGGGTGTGGTGGAGGAGGGTGACGCTGGCCATGACCTGGGTGGGGGGACGGGACACCATTGAGGGTGCAGGCCTGCTTCCACATGTGGCTGCAAGGGGGCAGCAGTTGGGCTCCCAGCAGCCCCTGGGGTTGGGGCTGAGGACCAGGACAGCCAGAGCACCCTGCCAGCCCAGTCACCTGAGAGGGCACAGGGAGCCCTGGGAGGCCCCCAGCTGGGGTCACAGTCATCCTTCCTGGGTCTTTGTTTCCCCATCTGGGGGTGGGGCGTGGGCAGAGGTGCCAGGGCCCAGTGGTGGAGCCTCCTGGGGTGGAGTGGACCATGACCTGTTAGTACCAAGTCTGGCCTCCGCTCTGCCTGGCCTCTCAGCTGGGCCTCTGTCTGCCGCCAGTGCCCTTGGCTGGTGCCCGTGGCTGCTGGGTGGCTGCTCCTGTATCTCCTCCCAGTCCTGTCGCAGTAGCTGCCCCGTGGCTCACTCCACCCTTCCCTGGCAGCTGAGAGGAGCGATGGGATGCTAAGTTGATCTGCCATCTGGAAGCAGAGCCTCTGTCGGGAGCTTGGCTGGGCAGTGATTCCGGGAGGTATGACTGGCTGGCCTGTGCAGGAAGCCACAGACCCACACTCCTGGAGGCTGTCAGCTGGCAGAGCCCCACAGGGCCCTTGCTCCAACTTCTTCCACCTGCGTGGGTGCCAGCTTGGGGGGGGGGGTCCCTGGAGGTAGGGCCCCTGGTCACATCTGGAGACATTTTTGCCTGTCTCAGTGGGGGGTCCCACTGACCACAGTGGGCGGAGGCTGGGAATGCAGCTGTAAATGCCCCGTAACGCACAGGGCAGCCGACACCTGAAAATAAGTTGCCCCAAACCTCGGTGCTACTACGGTTGAGATCTCTGCTCCAGGGGTCACTGATCCTGTGGAGTCTGGTCCTGAGGCAGCCTCATCCCCGCTCTCTCCTTTGTGCGGAGCCCGTCCTGCTTGCGGCTTGGAACCACGACTGCAGGAGGCAATTTTGGTGCTTTTATTTTTATCTCTGCAGTTCCTCCCAGGCTGTAAGAAACTGCCCTTCCCTCTTCCCTACAGGGCCTCCACCCTGCCCCCCAGCCTGTGGGATGAGCAGCCCCTTTTCCCTGCTGGCCCCGGGCACCCCCACAGTGAGAGGGCAGAGGCAGGAGGGGTGTGGCAGAGTGCCCTGCTGGCATTGCGTAGGACTTGGGTTCTGGCCAGAAGAGGCCCCAGCCAGGGCCAGAGCTACTGGAGGTGTTCTTGGGCACTTGCTGGGGGCCCTGCCTCTTGGACCCGATGTGGAGGCATCTCTGAGCTCAGCCCCTGTGCCTTGTCACTCTGCTGCTCCGTGCCAGCCAGTGTCTTCTGGCCTGGGTGTTCCTGGCCATACAGTGGGCCAAGGAAGGGGTCAGGCAGGCTCTCCAGACAGGGGAAGATGCCGAGGCTGGGTGCTGGGTCCTGGGAGGGGCTGGTTGTGGCCTGCCTGTGGCAGATGCGCAGGACACAGCATGTGTCTGTAGAGGGACCCTGAGCTGTGAACGGCTGCACTCCCTGCTGTCCAAGGGGTAGGCAGGCTGGGGAGGGTGACAGAGCCTCAAAGTGGAATTAGAGGCTAGAGAAAGAAGCCTGCTCCCCGGGCCTGGCCACGGCCAGCTGAGCTCAAGGAGAAGCTGGAACCTGGGTGGGCAGGGGTGGGGCGGAATCTTCCTCTCTAGGGCTGAATTGTGGGAAAAGCTCTCGAAGGGCTCTTGAGCTGTGGCCCGTGGGATGGGGCTGAGGAGTCCAGAGCTGGGTCTGGAGTTAGCCTCAGGGTGAGGGCCGGTGGATGACACCCCCGCCACCTGGCTGCACACCCAGAGGCCAGCCCATGTGCCCATCAAATTCTGTCCACTGCTGACCTCAGCCTCATAGGGCCATTTGGAGGAGGAAACTCATCCATGGCATTGGGTCACACGACAGCTGAGTGCTAGGGCTGGGACTAGAGTCTAGGCTGAGACCTGGACACTTCCAGGGAGTTGCAGGGGGGTGGGTTCTGAACAGCGTCTGGAGGCTTGGGGTTCTCTTTAGGATGTGGGGTGGTGGCCAATGTGTATCTGCGTGTATGTTGAGGACCACTCCTGGATGCACAGGGGAGAGAAGCGCTGAACACTCCCAGGTGACCTGTGGGGTCGGGGAATGGCTCTGAGAATGTAGGGGGTGGCGATAGCAGGGCTGTCAGGGCTCCCTGAGGCCAAGGTGCGGGGAGGCCTCAGGCCGGGCACAAGCTTGTGCCAACTCCTAGAGAACCTCCAAAATGTGGCCAATACCAGGTGGCATTAATAGTGCATGCATCTTGTAGAGTGTAAATTGTAAAGTATACTTGTCCCAGTAAATTTGGGAACACAGGGTTCAACTACAACTGGACATGGGGTGAGTGCCCTGTGACCTGGCACCATGTGCCCCACATCCTTGCCCGCCCTGGGCTGGCCTCACGCTGCTGTGGACAATCTGCAGTCCAGGAGGAAATTGATCAGCCCAGAGTCCTGCTGAGCAGAGCTGGCCAACCTCCAGGATCTGCTGCGGGTGGAGGGGGCCTCTGAGGCCACCAAGACCCTCGCATGGACAGGGGTCTCCTGCCTCCCCCGTCTGTCCCAGCTGAGGTGGGTCAGGTAACCACGGGGTCCTCTGGGCTCAGACACGGGCCCATCCCTCTGCACCCAGAAAGGGGGGGCTGGGGGGGATGTGCTCTGGGCCCCTCCCCTCCTCCAAGAGGAGCCCATTCACTTTGATTGGTCCTGTTGGTTGCATTACTTTGTATTTACAGTTAAATTTTTATTTTATTTATTTATTTTTTAAGATTTTATTTATTTATTTGACAGAGAGACATAGTGAGAGAGGGAACACAAGCAGGGGGAGAGGGAGAGGAAGAAGCAGGCTTCCCACCAAGCGGGGAGCCCAATGTAGGGCTCGATCCCAGGACCCTGGGATCATGACCTGAGCCGAAGGCAGACGCTTAATAACTGACTCACCCAGGCGCCCCTCTTTTCTTTTTTTAAAGATTTATTTATTAGAGAGAGAACGAGGGAGTGGAGGGGCAGAGGGAGAGAATCTCAAGCAGACTCCCCACTGAGTGCAGGGCCTCGATCCCATGACCCTGAGATCATGACCTGAGCTGAAACCAAGAGTCGGATGCTCAACTGACTGAGCCACCAGGTGCCCCTCATGGAATGTTTTTCCGAGAAAGGGCGCACGGGAGCTAGAGGGTAGAATAAGGACTAATTGATGTGGGTGAGTGGATTCCCTGCACCACAGGCGTTGTGCTGGGTTCCTTACAGGAGTGACTTCATTTCCCAGCAAGTCCATGATCAGCCTCCAGAGGGGACCTTACCTGCCATCATGTAGGTAAAAAACCATTCATGATTCAGCTACAAGTCTGTCTGGCTCTAAAACTTATTTTAAAAAATTATTTTAATAGAAGCTATGCCTGTGTATACCTAACTAGTTTAGTAGTTCAGTAGTGCTGATGAAAAATAACCACACCACTTTTCCCAGAGGCAGTTTTACCCTCTTAGATGATTCTTTTGACAATATGATTTGTTGTCATATCTTTAAATTGGTGGCTTTTAGATTTTTTTGACAAAAACTCAAGAAATACATTTGATATCACGACCTGGTATGTGTACACACACACACACAGAACTGAAAGATTTCAAAAGCAGTACTTAACCCCTCCTAAGCGCAATAATCTCAGATACATTCTTACCACCATGTATGATCCACTAAACTGACTGTGGTCTGAGAAGCTTGGCTGCACTTGCTTTTACTTCGGGTGCCTCAGTGGACTTCCCCC